CTCAGAAACAACCTGCTTCTCACAAGAGCCTAACTTTCATTTCGACATGTATGTGTAGTCGAACAAGTCACTTCTTCCCGGGTGTATTCCACCATTATTCTCATAGCCTTTTATGATCAGTATTTTTATCGCAATCCTCCCATGGTATCTTCCAAATGTGTGTCGGGATATGCTACATGCTATAATAATTCAGATTGGCTGCTGTGTTCTGGTTCCCAGACCAAGCCACCACTTTGCGCTCCTGAGTGGGAGCAAGAGGGGGGGGGCGGGAACTGGTTAAAAACATCCATGTAGCTATTCGATCAAATCCATGGACGACACACATACTGACTCCACAAACCTAAAACAAGAGAGGATTCGGCATCACCCATGATATCAGGCATCAGCCGTTTCTGCACATGGTCGTTGGCCACTGCGAAAACTTTCTCTGCTGTAGCCTCAGATTGTAAACTGCATAGATAATTATAATAACAGCTAGCACATACAAAGCGCCCATTCGTGGCTGAGCTACACTGATACGCAGTCGGTAGGGATGGTGCTTAAAGCCGTCAGCATCCGCTTCCGAAAGGAAGGCCGCCATGACCAGGCCACCCCCACGGCCCATCAAAGCAAAATGTGATTAAACACTGCAGGCGCACATCCATAAGCACGTGACGTCACTGACACTGCACTTCTGCTCACATGTCGGCATCAATTGCAACACTTGCATAAGCGGCGGGGGGAAGCACCTGTCTGGTGAAGCAAAACGGCCGCCCGGAGCAGCCCCATGTTGACACAGCGAAAATTGCTGATGCACTGGTTTGATTGAACGATACCCAGCAGCTATTCCATGCCTATCAGTTGGAAAAAGCCTGTGTGGCTCGGACTGATGCATGTTTCTCAACATACAGCAACGCTGGCCCTCTGATGAGCCGCACCGACCGGCCAGCACGCTCCCTGCACGGACATTGAAAGCTGACCCCTATGTACTCCAACTGGACCTACATTCGAATGTACTCCTCACCGCACTACACGGACCCTCTGGGATAAGCGAACAGGTAGGGGCACCGCTATGAAATAGCCGCCAATGAAACAAAAGCACGCCGAGGCTCACATGTCATGCATACCATGCATAAGCGGCAGTGTTCTACCTGGCACCCCACCCATATGTGCCGGGCCTGTGTAGTTGACCAGCTTGGGCACTTGGTCGATATTAGGCTTTGCTTCGCTGTGTCCCTTTATCCGTTGTCTGTTTTTTGTGTACTTGTTTCACGTGATGTTACATTGTGGCATTTGGCTGTTGCAGTGGCGTGGCTTTGTACCATAGCGCCGGCTATGATGTGAGTCTGTACTGGAATGATGCACTGTTAGGCTGTCTGTATTTGTTCATGAGTCCCTTACGAACTTGCATGTCTTGTGTCCTCAACTTGTCAAGTCGAAATGCAATGCACCAGAAAAGTCAGCACTACGTACCAAACGCCGACAGCTTGTAAGGCTCGCTCGCGACGTGCTGCGCACGGACGGCATCCGTGGTCTGTATCGCCACCTGGTCGCAGACGTTTGGATGCTGCGGGCATTTTGCAGTCCTCTCTAGTACAGCTGCCACGACGTAGCTTGGTAGTAGATGCAATGATAGCAGTAGCAGCATCGGAATATCAGCCGTGGTGGAGTCAGTAGTTGGTCACGGTGGTGGGTGCGGTCGTGCCAGCAACGGCGGCAGCGGCCGCAGCCGCTTAGTACTAGCTGCATGTGACGTCGGATTAGTCCACGAAGCAACTCATAGCATTTTCGTAAGTAGCACTATGTAAATTATGTATAAGCAGACCAAAGGCACATAAAAGGGCGAGCATGACTGCATCACCTTCATATCACCTGCAGAAGCCTTGCGGCGTCTTTTGGCACGCTTCAGTGTTTTGGACCACTTCTAGCCTGAAATCTTGCATTCTTACTTGGAGGTTCATGAGTAGTTATAAGTGGAATATAGTGGAGTTGTAAGTCCCCTAATATGGGAAATAAATATAGTTACCCTACTTAGAACACCACTTATAACTACCCCTAAACCCTAAACCTTAAACCCTAAACCTTAAACCCCAAACCCTAAACGCTAGAACCCTAAACCATGAACCTCCAAATAAGACACAATGCAGATGTTGTGCGTAATGTCTTCAGGAAACTGATGAGCTCTTCTCCTATTAGGGTTTAGGGCTTTAGGGTTTTAGGGTTTTGGGTTTAGGCTTAAGGTTTAGGGTTTAGGGTTTAGGATTTAGGGTTGCGGGTTTAGGGTTTAGGCTTAAAGTTTAGGGTTTAGGGTTTTAGGGGTTTAGGGTTTAGGGTTCTGTGAATGTGGGGGAAGACCGACCAGATGCCCTTCGTCACGTTCCCAACCGCCCTAACCTATCTGGCCCTTAAAAGAAAACAAATCCCTTTAAGAGCCTGTTAATGACAAGGCCATGAATTTCCCATTCATAACCCTCAAACCCTGAAACCCTTGAACCCTAAACCCTTAAGCCCCAAACCCCTAAAATGCTAAAGCCCTACCTTAAGAACCCATAACCCACTTTTTTGTAGTTTCTTCTTATACACCCTAATATGGGATTTATAGGGACCCTACAAAAAAGTGGGTTTTGGGTTCTCAAGGTAACCCATAACCCTAAACCCTAAACCCTAAACCCTGAAGCCCTAAACCTTAAAAGCTGGCTGCCCCAGGTGGCATGGACACCCAGCTGCTGATCGCTCCGTGGTCCTTGCTGCAGCCGGGGGTTCCACTTTCAGGTCCTTCTGGTGTTTGGGGTTTAGGGTTTAGGGCTTTAGTACTTCAGGGGTTTAGGGTTCCGTTTTTAGGTCCTTCTGGGGTTTGGGGTTTATAACCCCTAAACACTAAACCCTAAATTTATACTACCTGTTTAGGGTTTAGGTTTTAGGGTTTAGGATTTAGGGTTATTAGAATACTTGGAGGTTCATGGGCAAGGGGGGTTATAAGTAGGGTAACTATGATTATAGCCCATATTAGGGGACGTATGACTCCGCTTACTACCCATGAACCTCCAAGTGGGGTTTATACTACCTGTAGCCGAAAAGACCGACCTTTCTATGGAGCTATATACAGAAACCAAAGGAAGGAGCCCTATAAAGGTAGGTCTTTTCGGCGACAGGTAGGGTTTTTGTTTGAGGTTCTTTCAGGTTTTCTTTAGTTGGGGGGTCTATAGGCGTTCTACTAGCTTTCTTTTGGCTGGTCCTGTAATGGGTGCCATAGGCAGTCTGTAAGGGTCCTGAAGAGGGTGCTTTGCATTTTTCTGCGGGGTGCTCTACGCACAGAGTCCTATATACTCACTCAGACTAAGCGACATACCACAATTTCTAGAGGAATCTTTGGCATGATGTCAAGCATACTCCTTAATTATTGGGCCCTGAATTTAAAAAAGCTTCCTACAAAAAGCTTCTAACGACCCTACAAAGCCCGAAAAGCCTTGCTTCATGGGGATTTGGGGAGTCTCTCGGTAGGTACGACAGATGTTTCTAAAGGTTAGTGGTGCCTTCTCCCTCTTCTTCTTATCACCATTACTTGCAGTAGTTTAGGGTTTAGGGTTTAGGGTTTTAAGGTTTAAGGTTTAGGGTTTAGGGTTTAGGGTTGTTATTGTAGTTTTGTTTTGGAGTCCTAGTAATCAAATGCAACAACATAGGGTCTACATTGGGGTTCTTCGTTCGGGTGGCACCGATCTGGGTTGAGGGTTTCAAGCGTCAACGCTCATTGTAAGTAGGAAGCTGTCGAAAGGGTATCCAGGCGTACCGCTGCACAAGTTGCAGTGAGTCTAGCACTAAACCCTAAGCCCTAAACCCTAAACCCAGAGCACTGTTATTCTTCGTTTGCACACACATGCCTCATCCGACCTGTGGGCAGCAATCTTCTCGCTGCTCCAGCGGTAAGGTACACTAAACCCTAAACCCTAAACCTTAAACCTTAAAACCCTAAACCCTAAACCTTAAACCTTAAACCCTAGGCCCTAAACCCTAAACCTTAAACCTTAAACCCTAAGCCCTAAACCCTAAACCTTAAACCTTGAAACCCTAAACCCTAAACCCTATGCCTGCTGTTCCGTTTTTTGCCGGGTAAAGCAGACAGGGGCATCTTCGAGAAGGGTTCGTCGACATGTTTTTTGTTTTCATGTCTTGTCTGCCCGGTTAGGGATTAGGGGTTTAGGGTTTAGGCTTTAGAGGTTTAGGGTTTAAGGTGTAGGAACATACTTGGAGGTTCATGGGTAGTTATAAGTGGAGTCATAAGTCCCCTAATATGGGTTATAATTGTAGTTACCCTACTTCTAACCCCACTTCTAACTACCCGTGAACCTCCAAGTATGCAAGAGTCTAGACGTGTCGACGCTAGTGTCTTAGCAAGGAGGAGACAGGTTGGTCAGACTAGACTGGTTTTGGACGGTTCAACCGTCGGCCGTGCCGTTGCCGACCAAGGTATACCGTGGTCTACTATTGCTACCTGGACCATATTGATCTCGTGGCGATGCTGTCTCCACATGGGGCGAGCATAGTGTACAGGTGTATGACATACCTGAGGCCATGCTGCCAGCCGTATGCAAGCTACAGGGACCAACATTTTCCCCAAACCAAGCGACTAAGATCATCAGACTAGGGTTTTGGGCAATATTTTGCTATAGCTATTTTCTCAGGAACCCCCCAAAACCCTATTCTAATTCTTACGGCCCCTACATTACTATTATATAATCATGTACTACATGCCTTCAAATTGTAGAGCAATGTTACAGTTCTTTGAGGGGGAAAGCCGCAAATCGCCAGGCCGTGGGGACTGGCTGAGAACTCTTGGTTAAGGAGGGCTTCTGTACTCCTAATTTAGGTGTTTGGGTTGAGGGGTTTAGGGGTTAGGAGGCCTTACTAGTTAGAATAGGGTTTGGAGTATATTACTTATGACAAGGAACACCAAAACCCTATTCTAATTACTAAGGCCCCTGCATTAGGGTTTAGGGTTTAGGGCGTTTGGTCCTCTTAACTGCAGCTCTGGAGTTTCGAGGTCTCTACGACGAGCTTCTTCGACTCCAGCAGGAGAGAAAAGGTTTAGGGTTTAGGGTTTAAGGTTTAGGGTTTAGGGGTTAGGGTGCATAGGAACCACAAAGTTTTTGCTTTGCATTAGGACTTGGCCGGGCTTTCTTTTGGTTTCTCGTCTTGAAAGAAAGACTAAGAGACTCGTTCCGTTCCTTCGTGAAACCAGCAAAAGATGCTTCCTGTGTCTTTTCTTTTTGTGGAAACATCAGCTCTGCTGTTAGGCCTCGGTGACCCTGACAGGTAGAAGACATAGTAACAACTTTTGTAGTAATAACAGTGCTCCAAAATCATAATTTGTCATCTGGTAGTGATGAGGTGATCTACAATGCAGGCTAAGAGCTACCAGAGGTCTTACTTTATAGTATACTCCCTATAGTCTCCATTTCGTTCTACTAAAATAGCAAAACTCCAAGACCCTGTTCTATTTCTACAGGCCCCCGCTATGTCCGAAAATCGAACCATCAAACCAAGTTGGACAGCCCGAAAGCCCTCTGGCTGGGTGTCTGCAAGTACTTGTAGGTTCATGGGTAGTTCTAAGTGGGGTTTAGGGGTTCAGGAGTTTAGGAGTTTAGGGTTCAGGGGTTAGGGGTTCAGGGGTTATAAGTAGGGTAACTACAACTATAACCCATATTAGGGGACTTATGACTCCACTTACAACTACCCATGAACCTCCAAGTAGTGCTCCAAGAATCTTGCTCGAGGTTGCACGCAGTTGAGGCTGTCCCTCCCTCTCTAAGACTCTAATCGCCCTGGACAAATCTTAGGAAGCCACAAATCCAGTACAAAGCTGCAAGGGCTGCCTAAACCCACACAGACTTCATACATAACACACCTTCGTAAACAGATGATTCCCAAAAAACCTCAAAGAATCAATCAACCGAAAACCTTAATCCTAAACCCTAATCTCTAAACCCTAAAGCCCTATGAAGACCCAAAGCCCTTTCGGAGTAGAGGATCACCCTCTGGCGCCCCTTAGCGCCGCGGTGGTGGCCCGCACCCTGGAGGTGCCTTGGGCCACATGCCTCACGGGTTTGTGCTTACTTAGTACCTGAATGAGTTTAGGGTTTAGGGTTTAGGGGTCTCTTAGTAGCTGCATGAGCACGCTTTACTTGACACTTGGGATCTTATAATCCCCTATAGAACTCGGAGATGATCGTGAACGGCCCGAAGCCAGTTGCTGAGCTGCCGGATTGGGTGGTGGAGCCCTTCCACGTGCAGATGGATGGCGAGAGCATGGTTGAGGTGGCTCAGCTGGAGAATGATCGCTGCATCATGTACGAGAGTGTACCTTTGAGCTGCACGGTGCAACAGGTGCTTGAAAGGATGCAGGATCCAGGCTGCTCTGATGCTGTTTACACTGCTGTGGGGATGGCTGTGGTCTGTACCAGGCGACCGAAGACAGATGATGACGACAAGAAGCAGGACGACCGTAACACAAAGGGTGACGGCGAGGACGATGATGACCTTGAGCCAGATGACTACATGTTCGTCAGTGGGCGCCCAGACGACGGGGACTTGTATGAGTGAGGGCTAGCATAGCACACGCAGCAACACAGAAACACACACGAGCAACAACACACACAGCATCACAAATCTATGGGTGCTTCTGGACTCAACAACTAAGCTTTGCCATTTGTTTTCCAGATGCTTCGGCTAACACTCCGCCGGTTTAGCGTATGTGCACGCAGGTTTATATGCATTGTGGGCACACATACTTGTGTTGATCCATCCGTCGATTCATGTTGATTTGCATGTGTGCTCGTGTAGACTACGGCTTAAGAGCTAGGTTTAGGACTTAGGGTTTGATCCCTCAAACCCTATCTAAGGACTTTAGGAGGGAC